GACATAAAGCCCTGCAGGCTCTTTTTAAATGCCTTGATTTTCTCCCTTCATACAGAGGGGTGGATGAAGGCCAGGGTGAAGGGCTTCAAGTGAACACAAACTGGGCTGCTTGCTTTGAAGATCAGTTAGACAGGGATCAAGTCTGTCCCCGGGTAAGCAGAGCCTCCCATGGAAAATATAGCAGAGGAAAATAAGTTTTTTGAAATCATTGGTCAAAGATCCGAGGGTTTTCAAAGAGCATTTACTAAGTTAAACAATAGGTTTCTGTTTCAAAATGTCATTCTGGAACTGGGTGTATTGTTTTCTTTAACTGAGTGTTTAAATCAAGCAGACATTCTTCTGTGGCATGAGTTAAGTGAAATCATGTTTCTGACAGGAAAATTTTCTAGCTAAATTCTTCAGTCAGGATCTGCTGATTTGCAACTTATGACTACAAAAGATTGTAGCTTCATCTGTTCACAAACACATGTGCCCATGTGCACGCACACACAGAGTATCCATAAGTAAGTTTTATACCACCTTGATCAATGCATTTCTCTTTCAGTATTTTTTTTTCCTGATCTTAAAGATAAAAGTAACACTTACACATGTTTATTGAATGTAGTCGTGTAGAAACCTAAGCGGAGAAATCCCAAAGAAGTAAATGACGAGCTCAAGTGGTTTGCTTCAAACTCACAAGGATCTATGAACCACTGTGTCTTTCACTTCCTCTGACAGCTCTGCTACCTTTCCCTCTGATTTTAAATATTTAGAACTCACTTCCATTTGAACTGCTGTAATTTAATGTGGCATCTTTGCATATCCCTTAGTTTAAATTAGGGTGTGCCACAGCAGTTGATACGACAGCCAAGATGAGATAATGGATACTGAAAGGGCTGTATGAAGCTCAGTCTCAGTGTTTAATGCCTGTTGCAGAATGCTAGGAACAAGCGAGTGTCATACATCATCCTACACAGAACAGAAATCATTTTTGCAGAAATATGTTCTTTACTAGTTGAGAACGGGGACAGAGAGCATCAAATGCTTAACTCCTCTTCAGCAAAAAAACAAAAGGTTTGTTCAAACATGATTTCCTGGCATCACTTCCCAGTGGTAGTGAGGCACTATGATGATAAAACCATTCAGCAATTTGTAAGGTTGAAAGTTTTGCAGAGCTACAAATTTCTTCTGAATAATCAGCTTTTGATTCAAATTACCCTGTAAGCATATTCCTAACTCCTCAGTGTCATGATTTTCAGTACAAGCGTTAAGATAAGATCCCAACCTAGAATCACTAGAGTTGTGCTGCATTTTAACATGCCAGCAGGCCTTAACAAAAGGGCAATTTTCTGTAAACAATCAATGTACATTACAATATTTTAAGACCACAGGTCAATTGAAATTATGAAACTCAAAGTGAAAATTTTATTTCCTTTAGCGCAGAATTTGTCTGACTTCCTTTAGACACTTGCCACAGAAGGAAAAGAAACATTTGCTCATCTTCCTCTCTGCACCATGAACACCTCCTATAAAAGCAGCCTACGTGACTAGTTCAAGTCCCAGGTGTTAAATTACAACTACAAAGCGGCAAGGGGGTAATTTTCAGTGAATGGATCTTTTGGCACCAGGTATATAACAAAGACTAATAACTGAGAAAAACAACTTTCTGCAAATGTCTGTAATGAGTATTTGATAAGAACGTGACTCTTTTTTTTCATCTTGGTTCAACTAAATTATGTTTTTTACAATAGGGCTTGATACTAAAGTCCAACACAGAAAAATATTGACACAGGTAAGCTTCTTGTAAAGGGAGATAGCAATACAACCTAACTTTCAATCTCATGCAGTGCCTTTTACTAACTGCACTCTGTTCTGCTTGTTCAATTTCTTAAAACATTAATGACAGTAAAATTGTCATCTCCTTTATATTATATGAAACACGAACTTCAAAAATCTGCTGTGCAAGGGCATTGTTCAAGACGCATTTGCAGCCACACCGTATCTCTGAGGCTTCCTGGGAGCCTGGAGCCTCCTGCCAGAAATATGCTTTGTGGGCTGAAGTCGGCACAGAGCTCAGCATGCTGAGTCCTGCACTGTGGTTACCAAGCTTTGGAAAAGCTCCAGCAGAATGCCCGGGAGACTTGAGTTTGATGAAATTTGTAATCCTATTATTTACTACCTTAGCGAGGACTGTTGTACACATGCACGCGTTCACGTGCAGGCTCGTGTAGAGCTGCATATAGCTTGTAGCTGAAACAAAGGCCAGAAGAGTCCTGCAAAGAGGCTGGTGCTGTGCCCCAAGCAGGCGATGCTCACTCCACAGCTCCTGCTGGCTGTGTTCCTCACGGGGACCTGCATGAGGCTGACAGAGATGCGCTGGGCTTTTCCCTATCCTCTGTGCCCCTCCTGTGCTTGCTCCAGGCATTGTCATATTAAATGAGTCTTGTGATTTTTTAAAGCATGGGGTATGCCTTTTCCAGAGACCCAGTCCTACAGACTCTCTGCAGTGTGTAGTCCCCACCGGACATCTGTGGGTGGCGGGACTGTACCCAGTACTGAGGGCTTGAGATGCTGCCCAAATGTAGGCACCCACCTTAGCTTGCCCCAGCAGTCTGGTCCCAGTGTGATCACCGGGGAGACGCAAAGAAGACCCATGGGATGACATTTTCTCTCCACCGGAGGGAGCAAACTGCAAGTTGAAGCACCCAGACCAGGCACAAATACCTGCCTCCCCAGCTTCTGCTTCACCATCTCCAATCTTGCCAAGATTACTACAACAGAAGACAGGCAGCAGCCTGCAATGGTCACGGCCACTGACGGGGACAGTGTGGAAGCGTGGACTGGAATCTGGTTTCCAGCGGAGCACGTTGGGACCCAGGGGCCACCTCCACAGTTCGGCGCCGCTGTGAGCACCTGGGAACCTGTGGGGGGGCTGCAGCCCCTGTCCTGTCCTACCTGGGCCATTTTGTGCGTCTCCACGTAGCTGCATCCAGAGGTTATTTGCATGCACTTGTGTTCACAGGACCTCACTTTTTGTGTATTTTTACTAACTATAGAACTTGGAAAGGGTGTCACAGCAAGGTGGGCCCCATTTCTCAGCGGGAGCCCATGTCTCTTGGTGCCAACAGCTTGAAAACCTCTTGTGAAGAAGAGATCACATACTGTCCCTTGAGCGATGCACCCTGTGATTTCCAACCTTGAGCAGAAGCCACTTGCCCTGGACAGTAGAAGATCCCACCACAGAATCATCGGGACTGATATCCACATCCCTGCAACAGCTCACTGCCCGCAGCGAAGACTGTCCATCCATACTCACATGTTTCAGAGCTCTCTTGCCCTTCCCCATCCAAATCAGTTTGTATTTTCTTCCTGAACGTAGCACAAAATATGGCTGTTCTGGCTGCTTGGACCAGCATGAGCATGCCACTGAGGGCAGGTGTCAAACACCATGGCCAGGAGTCCTTGTTTCCCTCTGCAGCTGGAGCCAATGTCTTTGTGATGAGTCCTCTTCTCTGTTCCAGCTTCACCTTGGCTGCAGGCCATATTTAAGCTATTTTTCAGGGACATTGCTCTGTAATTCCTTAAATGGCACAGTTCTCCAGTTCTCCTGCAAACTGCTTACCACTGAAAGCTGCTACCTGCCCATGCGGCAGCTGCACGGCTGTCAGCCTGAACATCACCCCTTCACTCACTGGGACTAAATGAGGGCTGAGAAGTCACTTCTCTCCCTGCCGAGGAAGGATGGGAGACAGGGTGGGAGGCACTGACCCCACCACGCTGGAGAGACTCGGCAGCGCTGTGGGGCTGGATGTGCTCCATGAGCGAGCGCACGCTTCAAGCCCATCCAGGGCATCACACCGCAGGCTGCTGCAGCTCAGCCCCAGGCACCGGCTCTCCCCGCCTGCCCCTCCTGCTGGACGCAATCCTGAAGGAAAATCTGCATTTCCACCCAAGTGAGACTCCCATATCACTTGGGGGCAGAAAGGGTGGTGGGCTGGAGAGTTTAGAGTTTGCATGGGAAAGAATTCTGAAGAATATATCCTCTCTTTACTTCAGAAGCGTTAAAAAGCAGGTTTTCACATGCTCAAAAGGCAGCTGAATCTTCATGAGATGCCAGAAATGCTGGTCCGTGGCAAAATCCTGCTGATAAGGTATGCAGATGGACTCCACCAATAAACTCTGATGGAGACGGCTGATACCAAGAGACAATCCCTGCCCTAGAGCCAGCAGGGTCAGCACCACTCGCCATGCCAGAACACACACAGCCTCCCCGAGAAACCCAATATGTACTCAGGAACCAGGACAATTCCCCAGTCCTTTCATCTGCTGCATTAACCACGTAGCTGTGACCTGCCTATCTGGTTAGATAATGGGCTCTAAGGTATCTCTATTGTAAGGGATTTATTAAAGACCACAGCAAGCACATTCCTCCCTGCAGGAAAAAATACCTTAATCTACTGCAAACCCTCCTGGCAAAGGCTCCTATTTGAACAGCTCAGGGATACAAGTTTGTTCTGGTCTGGACAGTGTTTGAAGTTTCTTCTCCAGCTAATGAACAGACTTGTTTATAATGAAAGGACAGAGAGCAGCCAGTTTTCTAAACAAGCGACTTCATGGCACTCTGTTTTGCGGCATGTAGCTATGGCAAGCCCGCTGCAGTTTCTGCTCACTCCTTTATTTCCATCTGAAAAATAAGGGAACTCTCCAACAAAATCAAAAACCTTATTTCTTCAGGCCCAGTTTCCCTAACAAGACACAAGAGGAGACAGTGGCCTCTTACTACAGACAATCAAAAGGCGAAGGAAACTGGTTTCCAGACCATGTCTCAAACCCAAACACTTGTGAGATGTTTTCCTACCACGCTGACTTACCTGGCAGCGTTGCAATGTAATGGTTAAAGAAGAGTCGGTTTCCAAACAGAGAGGTTTGCTTCTAAATAAGCATCCAACAAAAAATAAACCAGGCAAGCGTTGGGCAAGGCTTCTGCCGTGCCTCCCATCATGGAAGGCACCAAAACCCTGGGGACAGCCCCTACCATACCCTCCTCCCTCATTTCCAAGGCTCGTGGGCACCAGCGGGCATCACCGGAGGGGCTGCTCCGGGCAGGGGTGCCCCAGCACACTGGGGGGTGATGGCGCACCCAGCCACCAGGTCATTTCCAAAAGGAGCAGGCGCTGGCGTTGGACTCACCTCGGCACTCCGTGCCTGGGTCGCCCCAGAAGAGCTCCTGGCACTCCCGGCAGGTTCGGCCTCCAAAGCCC